CACAACAAAGTATTTGTTACTCTAGGCGACAGTCCACCCATTTTTCGTGGTGAGACGTGTACGCACTCTTCAGGGCCTGTCCTAACGTAAAAAATTCGCCCCTCACTTGAGGCCCTGCAGTAAATGAATTTCCGGGGGGGGTGCCGGAGGCCAAAGACGCTGATTGGTCAACAGGAAAAAACACGATGAGGCTTTCTCTGCCCGGAAAGGTGGGACTTCGATATTGGGTGCAGCAAAAAGCAGTTGCAAATTGAAATATTTTTTGCTGAATCGAAGTACCCGGCGAGTTGCACTGCGCCCCTTTGGCACCCCCCGTGATGAGCTGCACTCGTGTAGGCGTTACGCCTGACGGGACTGCATGTGGCACACTGGCCGTGCGGCACCCACACGCATCGCTCACTGCCCACTGCTGAGAATAGCTGTGTTGCAATGATTTTGTGAGCGTGCCAACTTTTCGCGCTGGTTGCGTCGCTGTGGAAGTTGCTCTCCAATATGCACGTGTGATGTCAAAAGTCAACGGCCGGTTGTGTGCAGCGAGACAGTCCAAGCAACAGCTTGATGAGCAAGCCTAAGGATGAGGCTTGAACCGCTGGCACCGCCTGCTGATGCTTAGCTTCGTGTGTTTGCTGATGTATTTTACAGCTAACGTGTGGTGCACATGGTCTATCGCTCTACCTGGTTGGGTCACCACGTCACCTCGCGGCAGCGATTCCGCCGCTTTTGGGTGTTGCTGAACTTTGATGTGGCAAAATTGCGTAACAACGACGCAAGCCCTTTTTGGCCAATATCCCAAATAGGTCCATCCAAGTATTCAGCCCCTCAGTGTATGTAGAGTACCACACTTTTCAGTGTATTGTTTCGTACGACTACAACCACCAAGGGTCACACAGACAGGAGGGGGTAAACACCAGGCAGGGCTCTTTCTTTTAATTTGTTTCGTACCCCGCCTTCCTCCTGCGGTGCGCGCTGAATTTTATTTTGACAGTCGTCTCCGCTCACTACGTGCTTTTTCGTTGAGTGTCTTTCACGCAGGAAAATGTCTTGAAGATTCCGGGGCCACTAGGTAACTCACCGTCCCCGGGGCCAATCATTGTAGGGGTAACATATGTCAAAAGACGCGCATTCGCAGGAGGAATGCGACCATGAAACGGCCCTGTTGGAAACCTACCACAAAACGTGATCTGAAGGCCGCAGCTACTGCTGCTGTTGCACTCCAACACTGCTGTACATAGTTTGAGTTTCCCCCTACCACCAAAACCGTTAAGGGGTGCGCTGGTGTTGTTACAGGCTTTTATTATTGCCGAGGCGTTGGTCCTCACGGTGAACATCTTGCTCGAGATCTCGCTACCGCACCTACCTAAGAAACATCAGCTGTCGGAACTAACTCTGATACGATACAGGCAGGCCACCTGGCACGTAGGTACCAAACAAAACCACCCACACTATAGATCGACACTAACTAGGCAAATGTCGGTAACAACGTAGTCAACACCAGACAAGGAATCGGGAAAGTACACCGAAAACGAGGACACGTTCCTCCCCAAAGGTAAAAACGAGGCAAAACAATTATGCCACGCTTGCCTTCACGAGACTTGACCCAAGGCAAACAAATGACACCAAACAACGAACGTGGGCATCCATGATGGAGTTGTCTTCAAAGAACAAAAGCTACGACGCCCACATATCCCGAAGAGTCGCCTGCGCCTCGCCCCCCTCCGTCGCTCTTCGCTTGACTTGAGTTTCATGAGTGAACGAATGCACGAACCCCCCATAGTATTTTCACATCTATCTGCGGGGCACCATATTTCTGGGTTTTTTATGTCCTTTAGGCGGGGAGTTTCCTCAAGAAGAGTGTCTTTGAAGCGGGGACGACTGTGTCGCTAGAAGGCTCCAGCCATCCCTTTCCCTCGTCAACGGTGCTTACGACGAAGTTTGGTACTCACGAGAGCGTTTCAGCTCTATGTCGCTTTCACCCGCTAATTTGGTAATTTTTTTTTCCCATGGGGATTCGAACTCACAACCTTTCCGACTAGCGGTTTTCGTGGATACCACTATATAGACCACCGGGGCGACCGGCTTACGCCGTGCATTTTCTTAACCGTCTAAGTTACCGCTGTCACTACAAGTACTCATTGTCTGCTGGTGACGCTACATTGATGGTCGATGGGTGATACCAGCTAGCTAACGCCCGGAGAGAGAAGGGACCTGGGACAATGTTGCCACAACCCAACGAGCTGCTGTGCATGGCTGTATGTTCCCGCGTACAATTTGAAGAAGAAGGAAGATTGAGCAACGGTTTGACAAAAAGCAAGAAACTAGGATCTTCCGCAAGGTTCCACCCCAAAAAGCGTATGCATGCGTTAGCCTACGTGTAGCTGCCGTTCGAGAAAACAACGAGACCCCCATTCCAACCTGGTCCAGAGGGTTCGCAAGTTCGAATTTGAAGTACACATGCAGTTTTGCTTGTTGACCACCACGCGGCTCTTTCCGTGGGACCGAAGCCGTTTGAGGACCCTGCTTGTGCAGATGCCGTTGCGGTGGAACGAGCGCGATACGTGCCTCTTTTCTCGCCCGCCGTACAATCCCGTCACCTATTGTAGATGTTCGCGTTTCGCGCTTCCGGCTGCTTCAACACGTTGTTTGCTGTATTGTGCGGTATTCGACCCCGAAAAGCTCATTACGTCGTAACGTGGTGCTGCTATAGCGACGCCCACGTCCGCTCCCACCCGTGCAATCTAGTCTTGTGAAAGTGGTCCGCAGCAAAGGAGGATGACGGATGAAAAATAACATGTTTCTTGCGTCCCTAAGTGGGTTAATTCATCAATTTGGCGCTTCGGCGTGCAACATGGCACAACGGCGCACCAATGAGGACCACCTTCAATAGATCAGCAACAATATTCGCGCTGACACCGAAAATGATCTACCGTACACGACACAAGATAACACCCCCTGGACCGATTTTCAAAGCTCGATTACTCCACTAGGAAGAGGGTGCATGAACGAACCGGTACGGTTTCGGAGAGCTCTCGACGAGACGGTTCCAACGCCGTCGTTTTCGGCGCTGTGACTCTTTCTCCTGCTGAGAAACGAGCTTTGAAATTCGGCCCAGGGGGGGTGTTATCTTGTGACGTATACGGTACTGCTTCTCCTTGACAGGAACTCAATGAGCATCTGAGTCGCACATGAAATTCATACCAAGCATATTCCACAAATATTGAGCTTTTTCTCGTGCCGAAGTACAGACAGCCGATGTCCCGCCTCTCCAACACCAATGGCACGAGATAGACATGCTGTTACCTCCACATGGGTAACCCCGACCGCCATGGTGATGCCTCCTGCGCGTCCCCCCGCCCATACAGGAGCTGGAGCGGATTTGGGCCTTTCATCGGAACGAGAGTGACAAGTGCGCCTCCAAGCTTTCCGGGCCCTCCACGACAGTCCACCCTTCCTTCGACACCGGCT